GTCAAGAAGAAAGTTTAGGCCCCTCTTTGCAACAAAAACCCCAGTGGCTTCTACACATGAGGAAATCCCCTATCTTTTCTGACCCTTAAATCAGACAATCTTTCACCTATTTAATAAATAGCTCGTTTTTCAGTTTTCTCCCACTGACACCCTAGATTGGCCAAGGTAGTGATGGGAAATAGAGGATGCTTATTTATTTCTCTGAAATCTGTCCCCACACCACCCCCATCAAATGCACTTCCTATTAGTCCTGAAATATAGCCTGAGAACTTCATGAAATGAAGCTCGAAATGACAACCTGGCTGTAGGTGGCAAGGCGTCCCATGTGCAAGGTGGTCAGTAGGCGCTTTCCCACTAGGAAATAGAAGGTCTCTACTGGACCACCGTGCTCCAGTCTCATATTTTCCCTCCTTCCTACTAAGCAGCCACAAGCAGCTGCCTTCCTGTGAACCCCCAGGGGCTGCAGGCTGAGGTGGGAGAGAGGAGAGTGGAAAGGACCGTGCAAACCACAAGCGCGTGTCATTCACAAGCCTGTTTTGCAACATTTCCCCCACAGACCATTTTTAATCTCTGGGTCCAGCAGCCTATTGTGATCTGTGTCAAGGTTTGTGACCAGGTGAATACCACACCCGTGGGGGAAGGAGACAGACTCATCATTGCCCAAAGTGCAACGTAAAGGAAGGTCTTTAATGCTCTGGGAGAATTATAAACTGACTTCCTTTCAGGCTTCGGAGCAGGAGCAGTAGAGCTCATTCATTATTCTGTTACTTGCTCATTTGACGATCTATTTCCAGTGCTGCTGTAGGCAGGCTCCCTGGGTCAGACCTGAGATGGAGTTTATAGGAGAGGGTTCCCAGGGACAATACTCGGGAAGGAAGCAAGATCAGGAGAACAGAGAAGCTGACCTGAGATGTAGTCACAACAAAGGCTTCAGGTGACCCTGAACCCCCCTGGGAGCCCTGGAGCTGGAACATTTCCCTTCAGCAGTGCTCCATGTTGAAGCAAGGGGACGGGCCCTTTAAGCCCCCACCTGGGTGCCCCATGCAAGAGGTGTAGGTGCAGTTGTTTCCACTGAAAGCAACTCCGAGAGGGAGACTTAGCTGATATGTCCCTTCGTTCCAGCCACTTGAGGATCAAGGAGGATCTGAGGGGCACGTCAGTGTATAACCCCAAGTGCCATCTAATAACCAGCATTTAACCAGCAAGCTGGAGACTCAACCCCATTCTCTTTATTTAAAGTTACCCTACAACTGATTCAGCTTAATAAACCATTATTAAAAACTATGCTATAGTAAACAACCCAGAAATCCATCTATAGGGGAATGGGTAAGCAAACTGATATAATCCCAGAATGAGTTACTACACAGCAATCAAATGAATGAAGTCTCGACTCATGCTACCTTGTACACAAGCCTCAGAATAATTGTGGCAAGTGAGAGCTAGACCAAAGAAAGTGCATACTGTAGGATCCCACTTATACAAAATTCTAGAAAATTAAAACTAATCTAGAGTGACAGAAAGGAGATCTGTGGTTGCTTCAAGAGTGGGGGTGAGGAGGGACAAAACAGGATGATAGCAGGTGGAGGACACTTTTGGAGATGACGGATATGTTCACTATCTTGACCGAGATGAGGATTTCATGGCTGTATGCGTGTGTCAAATTTATCGAATTATACACCTCACCCATGTACAGTCCACGGTGTCTATTATACTTAAGTGAAGCTATTTTTAAAACAAAACTATGCCATGAAAGGTTCTGTGCCAGGCATCAGGAACCCAAAACTAAATAAGAAACAAAAACAAACTCTCCTTTCAGGGAGTTCAGAGTCTAGCAAAGGGACAGATGCACATTCAATCAAATATAAGGCAAGTCAGAATAAAAACAAATATGATTAAAAGAAACTATTATGAAGGTAAAGAAGAGTGGAGAATTGCTTGTTTCCTGGGAGAATAGAGAATAGGAACAGCTAACTCATATATTTATTATGTGCCAGGCACTAAGTACATTAACTTCTTGAATTCTCACAACTGCCATGACTGGGTGCTGTCATTATACCCATTTCACAGGTGAGGAAACTGAGGTTTTGGCCCCAGAATTCATGTTTTTAATGACTTAGTTACTAGTCTTCTCTAAGAAGTAACACATTTGACCTGGGCCTTGGAAGATGAATAGCATATCCCCAGGAAAAAAGCAGAGAGGGCAATGACACAGTATGAAAGTGTGCGGTGTGCTTGAAATATAACAAGACTTTTCTATGGGCATATTTTGGGGAGTGGTAGAAAAGGGGGGCTGAGAGGTACATTGCGGCCAGGATGCGAATGTTCTTCACTGATTTGCCGAAGACTTTGGGCCATAACCTTCAGGCCACAGGAAACCACTGAAAGTTTTAGAGCAGAAGAATAACATCAATTGTGTGTTTCAGAAAGAGAAAGGTCTACCAGTCTGCAGGTAAATGAATACCCAGCAAATTTCCTGTGAATCCCTTCATAGGTATTCCACTATAGCCACATGAAATCACTTGATTTGGGCTAGGCTGCACTGTAAATTTAGGGTATAATCTCAGAATATTTCTTCTCTGGTCACCTGAGTCCCAAACATATTCTGTTTTTACCGATGTTACTGTATATTTTTACCCAGCAGAGAATATTTCAGAACTTACAACTGGAATAAAGGGAAGAGCAGAGTCACCCTTTTCCAGGCCCCTACCTGAATTGAGTTCAGAACTGGTCCAAGGTTTTTTTCCAGTGGCTTAAAATGAAAAGTGCCACGATGACATTTTTGCTTTTGTTTCTTGTAAAAGTGGTTTTTGATTTCCTCGTACATTCACGTTAGATGAATAAACTGAAGATCTGGAAAACCAACCAATGTCTATGTCCAGACACGTTGGTGGCATTGTGATGTCACATCTGACACTCCTGGAAGTAAAGCCCTTCATCCCTGTGCTTTGCCAAGAGGTGTTCCTACAAGGAATAGTACTCTTCTAGGAGAAAATGTGAGAAATTATGAACTAGCCATGGGAGGCCCAAAGAGGAACATTATACCTACTTCCCCTGGGCCTTCTCAAGGGGTAGGAGGCAGGGCACAAAAATAAAAGCATCACACTTAAGCAAGGACATGGCATTAGCAGGAACACCAAATGGAAACTAAAATACAGAAACTGGAATTCCCCGGAGGGAATCTCACAGGAAAAGAAAAAAAAAAATCAGATCAAAGACTCAAATAGTCTTCGTTTGTATTCTCAGTTCTGCCGCCGACTCATTGTGTCACCTCGGGACAACTCCTTCATTCAGTACTTTAAAAAATGGTACAATGCACATTCCTGCTTCCACAAGCAAGTCAGTATATTTGAATATGCAGCTGACACTTGAACAATGTGGGGATTTGGGCCACTGACCCCTGTGCCATCAAAAACCCACGTGTAACTTTTGACTCCCCCAAAACTTATAGCCTACTGTTACATGAATAGTTGACTGAAACATATTTTGAATGTTATATATATTATATACTGTATTCTTATAATAAAATAATTTTAGAGAAAAGAAGTTTTTTCAAATTATTGCAAATCTGCAATATATTTATTGAAAAAAAAATCCATGTGTAAGTGGACCTGCATAGTTCAAATGCATGTTGCTCAGGATCAACTGTAGTCAATAAGCATTTATAGAGAAGCGTCTATGACCCTAGCCACGCCAGCTGATAGCATAGTCAGGGCTAGCTTCCACATCTCTTGATTTCTATTCCAGAACACTCTCGTGATGCATGCTGCCTTCTGGCACCTGGAGAGCTTATTCAACATAAAGCAGCCTCCTCATTCAAGTGAGATTCTGATTTAACCAACCTGGGGCTGACCCTGACAATCTACATTTGTCAGCTGGAGACCCAAGGTAGCCATATCATCATAGAATTTGAGAAACATTATATTCTATCCTGCTAAACTCCACAAGAAAGGTCTATCTTGTTTCATTCTCTTTCCACCTGTTAAAATTGAAAGACATATTGGCTGGATAAAATTTTCCCTACCCAAACTATTAAACATTTATAGAATAGTAACATTCATTTTAATTAGAGCAAGTAAATATTTATCTGCTAGCCTCTATTTTTTTTTAACTGAAGTATCACTGATATAAAATCTTATACTGGTTTCAGGTATACAACACAGTGATTCAACAGTGACCCATATTATTAAATCCACACTGCTACTGGTGCAGTTACTAGCAGTCAACATAAGATATTACAGAATCATTGACTATATTCTCCATGCTGTACTACTATCCCCAGCACAAACTTATATTATGATTGAGAAGCCTCTATTTTCTAAACATAAGCTTATTAGTAGTTTGCTGTGTGCCTCTGGAAAAAGTGAAATAAAGTATATCTAGCTCAATTTGCCCAATTAATGAGAATTAAGTAACAAATAGTTCATTTGCCTATTGTCCCCCTACTTGATCACATTCTCCTAAAAAGCAAGGAATTTATATTTCACATCTGATCATATTTAAAGCAATGCATATTAAATGGCTGGACAGAGGTAGAGACGGGTAGATGCACAGACAGATGGATACATAAATAGATGGATCAATGGGTAGATATCCAGATATTTTAAATGAGTAAGTATGTCAGTGAATGAATTCTGCCCCTGATAACCATTGTTGCCAGAGTCAGAAATATAAAATATTCACAGGGTTCAGCAAAAATTGTCTAATTCTAATTGTCGAATAAACTAAAAAAGTAAAAATAAGGTGACATCACTACATAGGGACATTTCAATATCTCTCCCACTCCACTTTCCCCCCAAAAGCCTTGCAACTAGTCAACTTACTAGTACAACCCACGTGTGGTAGAATGATCTGTGCCACCAACACATCACTACCCCCTCTACAATCAAGGTGACACTTGTGGTCCCCTAAATGTTCCACCAGGGGGTATTTTGGGGGGCAGCTCTCTAAGAGGGGGCTCCCAGCCCCAGTGGAGGAGTTGAGATACATGAGGTCACGGAGCTACTGCCTCTCCCCTTCAAAAGAAACCACCCTGCTCCATTTATTTCAGAATCTAGAGGAAGTTGACAAGGTGTGACAGCCACACAGCACAACATGTGGTGGAGAGTTTACAGCTTGCTGGCTTGGCTCCCCTTACGAGGTAAGCACTTAGAGCTAATGTGTTTTGATGCTCAGTTGATCTAATGTTTTGCTGAATCTACCCATCAGTCAGCCAGCTGCATATATGGAGGACCTGCTACAGAAGACAACCCAGGTAAATTTGTTAATATTTTCCAAGGTGTACCAAAATCAGTGGAGGGATGGTATTGCCTTTATTTAATCTCCTGTTCAATTGTTAAAGGGTATAAACAGGATCATTGTAGCATGTGTCTCTGTGGGCCTCTATGTTATGGCAAAATGTAACAGGCGTTAACAGGTTCCGCCTTTTAACGTTATACCAGTTGAAAGACTATCAGTTTGGGTTTTTAGAAACTTCCTTGCTGTTTAATAAGCCTTAGCCAAATAATTTCTCTGAAAGCCAATTTCTGAATCTTGAAATAAAGATAATAACAACATTTGATCAAACTCCATGGATTGTTGTAAGGATCAAACTTCAAAAGTGGAAGGGCTTGTTAAATAATACTGTATACAGCTCTCAGTTCAGGGTAATAATGAGCCCAGTCAAAACTTGGTGCCGATTTTTTTTGTCAGTTATGCTTTGCATTCCATTACAATTTTCAAATTTGAATTGAATGTTGAATTCTAATGTAGCATTATGAAAATTAGAGAAAGGTATGGTTACACCTTTTTAGTGCAGGAGTCAAATTATTCCTCCCCAAAAGTAGAGGCAGGGTGTAGGTGTCCCTGAATCTCTGATAGCAATTTGTATCACATTCTTGCAAAAGAAACCACATCTTTGAATCTCTCTGTTTCAGGTAACTGACCTATCCTTCTAAATCTGCAATATCATCAAACTGTACCAGAAGGGCAATACTTTAAAAGACCAGATTTCCTGTTTTACATAGCACTTCAATTTCCTATTTTATACATTTCAATCAGTGCCTTCTTTTTGACCCTTATTCCCTTAGGATTCAATTTTGGTAATAAATAATACTAGTTTCTCCAATAAGTGGCCTAAGGAATAGCTAATACATTCAGGAAAAGTACATATAGACAGCTAAAATTAGAATGTTTTCAATTACCCCAAAGTTTAAAGTCTTTAAATGACCTTCACTTTTTCAGAATTTGAGTTATTGCCTCATAAAAATACCTCACAAAAATAAGTTTCTAAATACAAACAGCAATAATTATATCTTAAGGTAAATCTAAGACAAATCTTTTAGAATATAAATTATTCAGTAATCTTAATGACAGGAGATAAATATATTTATTGTGTCATGAGCAAGGCTGGGCACTTTATGTCAATTACATTTAATCCTAGCAAAGATACCAAGATAGGTATTAATAACCCTACTTTACATATGAAAAAATTGAGGTCCCAAACACATTAGATAACATGCTTAAATTTTCACAGCTAGTAAATTGCAACATAAATTTCAGCCTGCACAATGCCAGTGACTTACACCATTTAGAAGATACATTATTGAAAAATCCCAACTTGAAAACTTACCCAGAAGGCATTGAGCACAAATGGTCCCCTCTGACCTAATTATGCTCAGGCCCATCAGAGCCCCAACCAAGACAAGAGCTGATCACATGGCAAATCATCAATTCTGGCAACACTATACATTTGTCAGTTGTTTTTAGCTAATTAAATTATGGAAAGATCACTGTACTTTCTTCTACTGTGCAACTTCCATGGCTGCTAAAAATTTATAGACAAGAAAACTCCCATAATCTTGGAGCCTGATCTCTTTTCAGGCTACTATTCGCGTAAATAGCCCCTAGGATGGAGTAAAACACGGTAGGAATGAAGACTTGTTCAAATTCAATCATTCACCTATGTTGTAGGTGATGAAAATCCACCCATTTGAGCTCTACTCTGGTTATTTGGTGGACAGATAGGTATGCAGGATACAGAAAACATAAAGAACAGTTACAAACTGAGTCAGGTCCTGCTGTTAACTTCTAACTAGGAATAAGTCCCATGTTTGTTAGTACATTAGTGATATAGCTTCTTTAAAGCTCTCCTGGAAATAATGAGATTTTGACAGTCAGATTCACATTCACATGTGTAATTTTCTCTGTAGATTCCACCTAACAAAATAATAATAATCCCTTTTTGTAACTACCTGAACTGAAGCACATCTTTTCCCCACTACCTCAGGATAGTCTTTTAAATAGGGCTCTGGTTTAGGAGAATTCATTGTGTTTAAAGCTCTGGCTTTAACCGAGCTTTAGTCTTTCTTATTCAACATAACATTTAAGAGCAAAGTTAGCATCGTATTAAACTATGTCATACTGAATATATGCATTTACTCATTTTTTAGCTATTCATTGAACTAACACTTAAAATATTACTTTGTGCAAGGCCCTGGGACTGAAATGAATGAGGGACAAACAACTTTTCCATGCAGAGTCTGTAATCTATCCACAAAGACATACTTGGACCCGAATAATTATGAAGGTGCTCCCTGCTATGATAGAAGTCCATTCAAAGTCTTTGGGGATCTGGGAGAGAGGGCAGGTCATTGTGGGGAAGGAGGGGGTACAGACTGGTCGGTCAAGTTTGCAAAAGTGATATCATGTGAACTGAGTCTTGAAGGAAGAAGATAAGGCCTCCTAGGCTAAGAGAACAGCATCGACAAGGGCAAAGCATCTTCTTGAGCCTGGAACTTTCTGGAAACAGCAAGTGCCCATTTGCACAGAGCTTCTGGAAGGAAGGATCAGCAGATGAGACTGAAGAATCAGGAGTCAAGTCATCTGGAATTTCGGGCTGATTCCTACAGGCAAGAGGAGCCAATTGCAAATACTCTACTGGAGGAAGACACAACGATCAGTTATATTTTTAAAATGTAATTCTAGAAGCAGATGATGATAGATTGGAGGAAGGAGAGACTAGAAGGAAGTTACTGCAACGTCCAAGAAAGAAACAATGGAGGCCTCAATTAATGTAGTGATAGAAGTGAAAAAAAGAGGAATAAACTGATTAAAGAGATGTTTTGGAGAGGGAGAGGCCAGGATGCCCCTCACATGTCTGCGGTGGCTGGTGATGACATTCATATGAGGGAACACTGAAACAGGGCAGGTGGAGCATAGAGGGCACTAGAGATGGTGAGTTCCAATTGGACAGGACAAGTCTGGGGTCCTTGAAGGACAGATTTGTTCTCTTCTGTTTTTTAATTTGTTGCATGCAATAATTGGGCTACTAAGGTAAGAAAAAGATTTTATTATTTTCTCAGCCTACCCTGGTGACCTACAGTAGAGGCAGAGATCACAGACTGCAACTCCCAAAATCATGGGGAGACCTGGGAATCGTAAAAATGGCACAGGCTTTACCTCTGGGTACTTTGGTAGGTGGCAGCCCTTGTGCTTGAGGGAGGGTTGCACATGCTTTGGTGTGAAGCTATTCTCTGATAGGACAGTCAGAATGGGGCTGGGGTGGAAGTGACGGTGAAGGTCACAGATTCCATTTCCAAATATAAACTAGTCACAATCTATAACCCAAGGGTCAACTAGCAGCGTCATACCACATTGCCAGGCATGGTGGATGAATCCACTTATGGAGATAAGGACCAAGTCCAGAAGCCAATAATCCACTGTGTAAGCATGACCTACCAGCAGTCAGTGGTGACCTTCCAGAAGAAACACCATGATCAGCATTGCCAAGCTCTGTACACTCACATTTGTGGGGCCACATGGGTCTAATCTGTGGACTGGAACTCTGAAGCCCAGATAGGGAGGACTAGGAAGTAGGCACTCAGGGTCTGCATGAGAAAGGCTGGGGGTGAACAGAATGTACACATCTTTAGAGCCTGCAGGGGAGGAAGTGGTGAGCAAAGAATATAACCCACACCCCGTCCCTCTGACAGAGAAGGTGAAAGTTTGCCTCCAAACGTAGGTGAAGAAAAATCTAAAAGATGATTTTCAATTTAGTTTGCAACAGCACCAAAAGGACCATGGGGAACTTTGCCTTAGAAGACATGCCATCAAGTCAGGTCCACCTACCCACTGGACATGGTAGAAACCCCTGAACATGGCCTTGACACATGGAACAATATGTCTAAGCACTACAGCTGAAGCAGTGTGGGTCTGTGACTTCTCACTAGAGTTTTTCTTCTTTTCTACAATGATTTTCTCAATCAAAAAGAGGGTCTACCTGTTAATACTGCCACATAAATAGCCCTATAAGGCTAAAAGCAAGGGCTTGGAGCAAAGAGTGGAGGAAACAACTAACATTCTATGCCTCAAGCACAGCCCTTTGCATCTGAAATGCAGGCACCTAGAGTTGTGGTCAGTGTGGTCAGCGGCCAGATAGTGAATTCTCAACAGCAAGAGCAAACGCTACAATTATTTAGCATATGCTAAAAAGCCATACTACCTTTCATTACAATTTCGAAGACATTTGTGAGAACTAAATGACACTATTCATAAGCATGCCTCTCAAGAAAAAAACAGTGGTCTACACATCTTTGAAATGGGAAACATTTATTCATAAACAGGCTGCAGATAAATCTTGCTCCACTCCCAACTCCCCAGAGGCAGGCTTCCTGTCTAGACAATCATTTAACCAAAGGTAAGAACATTGGCAAAACTCCTAAGTATCCATTTTTGGTCCAAAGGATGAAATCTGGGCATGTGGCTTAACAATAACTTTATTCTATCCTCGATTCAATGTACTAAATTCTTCCAGGCTCACAGTATTCTTATTAACGTCAAGAAAGCAAAGATAACCGTCTGTTGTCTGCATTATAGTGCCATAATGAAAGCTGGCATTAAATCGTTACTTTTCAAGCTCACATTGCAATGGTTTCTGTAAGAGATGAATTTTAAAGAAATATAAAACATAGTCACTGACCTCAAGAAACTTGTCTGCTTGGGGGAAGCAAAATAATACACAAGAACTAGAGAATAAAGCAAGGATCATAAATGGGATGATTACAGAAGCAGTGCCAGTTAGAAGGTTCTAGATTCAAATTCTTGGCTCAAAGCTGCTTAACCTTAGAAAAAATTCCATCATCATTTCAAAGCATTTCTGCTAATATACTTATTACTCAATTATGGGTTGCTTTTATAGATGAGAATATTTCTAAATGACCCAACCTAAGCAGAATTCTCGCCTTTTGCCTCTATGCATTTTTTGAAAACACAATCTCTTTTTATTGACTCTTCGTTGTTCATTATAGTCTTGGCTGACGATATGGGTATTTTTCCATTAGAATTCAAGCAAATTTGTTTCCCATGAAAGTCAATATGAGTACAATACAGTAACTCTGGGATATTATTGCCAGAGGCTAGATTGAAATTAATGACCTACCAATGGAACAAACTAGAAAGTCTGCACCAATTAATTCCCAGAGCTCCCAAAGCCCTTTTCCTAATACTTGAAATTTATCACAAGGAAATAAACTCCCCTCGTTTCTTTTTTTTTTTTTAAGGTCTAAGATGATGCGGTGAAAACTCATTACATTTGCTATTCATAATTTATAACCCATGGTATTCTCTGATTTATGGAAGTGTTTTGTACTCATTGATAAGAATCATCTTATGCCCAGAAAACAAATTTTTTTTGTAATTTAAAACATAAAAAAATAACAAATAGCAATAAATATGCCAAATCAGCAGTAATGCCAATTTATTTTTCTATCAATTTCCTTTTGGGGAGGATAAATTTGCAGCTGCTTAGAACCAACCAACTGTTCCTCATTCTCTGGGGGTTGTGATTTGGGGAATTTAAAAAGTGCTGTTGTGGAATATTAAATTGCAAGAGATCTGAGAACATCCTTCTTCTGTGTAGAACTCTCCTGCCCGTGAAGGGCAGCCCGTCATCCACAGCTCAGCCGTGGGTTGTAACATTCTTTCATAGAACCCTGGCCATGCAACTTGTACTTGAACGTACAAATCACCCCTTTTATAAACTAAGGACGGAGAAGCTGACTCTTCCAGGGTGTCATCCCTTAACTATTCCAACCCAGTTCCATGAGCACGGAGTTTGAAGCCTACAAAACTAGGTGCGGAACCAGCTCCGGAAGCTGTGTGACCTCAACCTCTGCTCCCCCGTCTGTAGAGCAAGCCAAAGAATGTTTCTTTTATGGAGTTAGTTAGAAAGTTAAATTAAATACAGGTACCATGGCCTGACACGGGTCCTGGTGGATGACACAGCAAGTGCCCGGTATATCTTGGTCAACGTCTCCCTTTTTCCTATGCAAACCCTACCCTTTCCTTCAGACCTCCTTCACAAGGAAGGCATCTTTACCGCTCCTACAGGGCTCCCCCCTTCTCCTCGCATTTCTTGGTGTTGACTTGTTTCATTTCTATGAGAAATGTGTAGTAGATGATTGACTGAATGCATGAGGTCGCGTGGAGATCAAGGGGGCGCCTCAGCTTAGGAGTGGCCGCCTGATGGTCCCCAATTCTTTTCCTTTGCAGAGGCTTTTCTGACTAACCACACGGAAACCGTCGCCGTGGAGGAAGGCCAGACGCTCACTCTGAAATGTGTCGTTTCTCAAGGGAAGTCCGCCTCCCTGCAGTGGTTGGCCCCGTCCGGGTTCACCATTTTTTTAAACGAGCAGCCTGGTAAGTGAAAGGAAAGTAACTGGCCACCAGACCTCAACCTGAGGGATTTTCCAGACAGGTTTGTAGGACAGAAACCAGCAATGAGTCACCCACACGGTGGGCTTGGCCCACCTACCATTACGCGTGAATCACCCCCAGAAGCCTGTTACTTTACACATGACTGCTTTTCTTGACAGGAAGTCTGAAATGGAAACCCCACCAGAATGGTTGATACAGGGGGCTCAAATTACAAAGTGCATGTCCACACCCCCGCCTCACCCCCAAGTCACTTTGTGACTCTCACTGGGACAGGCAGCAGACTGCCTTGGGGACCACTGGCCTCCAGCAGCCAACACCAGCGCCCCACATCTGAAGCCAGCTGCTCCGTGTTCCCTCTGTGTAAGCTGACGTCGCATCACAGACACCACTTCCAGAAACCTCTCCTGTTGGTCCGAACATAAAATCAAGATCACTAAGCAATAGGAAATGACAGCACTTAGTACTTTGGAAAGAAGGGCCAGCATTTTTCTCTCCACACACATTAAGTGAGACCATTTTACATCTCCTCAACTATTCTGAACTGCCTGACACTTGGGAGAGTCTCCAAATGGCAAATTTCATTCCGTTTTGTGAAAGCAGAGCCTCCAAAAAATTTGATAGGCTTTGAAAACATAAAATAGCAATACGATCAATGTAAAATAACTATTATGTCAAGCCAAACCAACTATTAATACTCGGTTCCAATAGAATAAGTAAATACTAACTTAAAAGTTCTGAGAGAAAAACGTTAAATAGAGAAGATTCTGTTAAATAATGCTGCCTGTTCTTTTGGTTTGGTGTTTGCTAAACTAGGAGAAGATGGACATTCTCAAGTTTCTACAGCAAAATGCCTTGATCTAGCTCTGTGATTCTCCACCAAGGGTAATTTTTGCCCTCCAGAGGGCATTTAGCGGTGTCTGGAGATAGTTTTGGTTGTTTTAAACTGGGGAAAGGCAGCGGGTCCAGCATCCAATGGGTAGACATACCAGTGATGCTACTTAAACATCTTATAATTCATAGCATAGTCCCCCACGACAAAGAATTACCGATTCAAATGTCAATAGCACTGAGGCTGAGAAGTCTTGAGTTCTACCTCATCTAACATCAGTGTCCCAGGGCACACGACCCATTCCAGATGAGTAACAGCCTTCCTTTGTCAGCCATTCAAGGCTTACCTATTTTAGGCTTGTTCATATTATAAATCTTAAGTGTTAAAACAAAACAAAGAAAACCACTCATTTCAGGATCCTCTGATTGGCTAATGGATCTCAGACCTGAGGTCATCCTAGGTCAACAAAGAATCAAGAGATACACTAGCTATTGGCTGGCACTCTCCCAGAGCTTGCTTTCTTATTTTTTATTTATTAATGTTTTTGCCATTGGCTAAACACTGGAAAGGTCTAAGTCACACTTTTTGGGAAACTTCAAATAATAATGACCTTTTAAAATTAAAAAAATAAGAAGCACCCAGCTGGAGCAATGAATATCGGTGCATTTATCTGCCATTCTTCTAATTTACTGGGACAAGACTACCTCCTATGAACCAGATTTCAAATAGGTAAATCATATCGTAGTGGGCATTTTTCATAATGTCAAAAAAAAATTCTTTAAAGTCCTCCTGCAACTTGAGCCCTCCACCAGCCTAGTGCTCTTAATTTCCTCTAAGCAGACATAAAGCAAACTGTTTATTTCACAGATCCCAGTATTGAAATGTTCCATTTCCTAAACCAACTTGAGCTATTGAGCGGCATTCGGCTGGGAACGCTAGAATCTGGAAGGCAGCTCAGTCGAAGAAGTGACATTTATTCCTTTGAAGTGTGAAAACCAAAAAGCTATTCCTGTGAATAATCAACCCACTAAGAGTCTGTATTCATCTGATCGCTCTTCTCCTAACGGCTTTTTCCCCTCTCGTGCAGCTTTAAAGAATTCCAAATACCAGCTTCTCCACTACTCCCCCACTCAGCTGTCCATCAGCGTGCCTAACGTGACCCAGCAAGATGAAGGCGTGTACAAGTGCTTACATTACAGTGACTCGGTGAGGACAAAGGAAGTGAACGTCGTTGTGCTGGGTAAGTGCCTGACAGCCAGTAAAACCCGGGATGGGAGGGACACACTTAGGAACACGATACATCATTTTTAAACTTGACATTTTTGTTTAATAACATTGCCTACAGCAAGGTTATTTCCTGGGGGGCATCTCTGCCACCTTTTGTTGAAAGGAAACAAAGTAGCATTTTGAGGGGGGTGGGGGTGGGGCGAGTTGTCTTTGGCATCAATTGACTTTTGTCTCCTGGGAACTAAAAGAAAAGAGAAATAGTATTTGAGGAGCGGTGGCTGTGTGCCAGGCACTGTGCTAAGCTCGAGGGAGTCAGAGATGAATTAGGCACAATCTCTGCCCACAGGGAGGTTGCAAGCTAGTTTAGGAAGGCAGGACACACATGTAAATAAGTAGAGCCTCTGACAGCAGATCCACAGGTAGAATGCATTCAGATATAACTGCACTGGACACTGGACGATCGGCTCACACCCTGTGCCCAGACAAGTTTGTCTCGTCTGTTGGTGGGTGGGTTTGGGAAGGGGATAAGAAGTCACAGCCTCCTAATCCTCTGGGATTTGCTCAGTTCTGTAGACAGTCATGTGCAGTGTAAATCTTAGTATCTTTACTTATTTTGATTTTTGTGGTGGAACAGATCAATTAAAAACACTGCTTTTTATTGATCTCTAAATAACATAATCCCACAAATAATTTCTTAGACTTCTGTTTGAATTTGTATAGTGTAGTGCCTGCCATAAAATAAAGGAATGGTAACAAAGCATCTGGGAAGGAAGGGCTCCCTAGGGGTTTTGAGAACCAATGTGACTCAGCTTCGGGGGTGTCTTCTCCCACCTACTGGCCACCCGCAACCATACTCTGACTCAGACTGGCTGTGTGCCCTTCTGGGCTCTCAGAACACCCCATGCACCTCTATCATTGCACTTCACACGTGGTCTTTTACAATTTAAGGACTGAGTCTATCACCAAACTATTAGCTCCTTGAAGGGCCTTGTCTTTTCCACATTTGTATCGGAATGAACACACCTAATGACTCCTTGGAGCCGACTTTACAGTGTCTTGATGGCAGATGGATGAGCAAATAAATGCACGTGTGCAGTTCTAGACCCAAGTATGAAGAAGGGGAAAGAGGCAGAAGTAAGCCTCACCAAAAAGTATTTCCAAGACAGGAGTAGGAGAAAGGACTAATGTGCCCTTTATACAAGAAAGGCATCTTTGATGTTAGAAGCGAACAGAAGTTACTTACTTTGAGATGAGTCATAGACTCATGAAAGTGTAAAGCTGAAACAGATAACTTCAGAATCCAACTCCTTTATGCCACAGGCAAGAAAACTAATACACCAAGAAGTTGGGAGACTTCACAGGAGTTCTGAATACAGTTGGTGACAGAGATGGGACTAGAATTCAGGTTTCTATCCCTCACCCAGCGCTCTACCAATCAAATATACTCACACCAAATTGAAGAATTACTGTATGGGAATTACCATGGATCAGTCACCCACTGGGTAACACATACTCTGACTACAGCCAAAGTAGCTGTAAAACCCCCTTCAACTGTATTCTGGGAAAGGTCAAATAAAAAAATATGCCCATTATTTAGACCACACCCTACAATGATCCCTATAGGTTATTAGGCTTTGTGCTTCGCTGGGATGTGTAAACCAGCTGATTAAGCACAGAAAAATCCATTTTCTTTTAGCAACTCCTCTCGCGCCAACCCTGGAATATTCAGTTATCAGAAGACAGAATGGAGAAGAACATATCATACTCAAATGCTCCACGACGAGAAGTAAGCCCCCTCCACAGATAACCTGGCTTTTAGGGAGCGGCATTGAGCTCTATGGTAAGTGGAGAAAGGGTTTTCTTTGCTTTGTTCTCCTTCCTACCTAAATTTCCAAAACGTTTTTAAATGTTCTGGCACCCTCTGGTGGCAGCAGGTGCCAGGAAACACATTTAAATAATTCATCGCTTCTTTTCCAATTACCTCATAACCGATCAATATGCCTTAATTTTGAAAGCGTAATCATGAAAAACATGATTATATGTGGTTTTGTTTTTGTTTTTGTTTTTGCTTAAAACACGGTAGAAACCTAAGATGGAATATTTCTTCTGGCTTCTTGAAATTTGATAACATTTCATCAAAAGGTACAATACAGCTATTCCCTCTGAGCATAACCTTTTGAGCAGGCGTAAAATTGAAAACACATTTCACATAATGCATGTAACTGGAACAGACGCGACTCTTTTTTATACAGTATGTACTACGTCATACCCCCAAAGACAGATACAAATATTATGGTAACAAAGGATCTTAATTTTAATTGGATGGAAGCAGGATTCAAATCATTGAAGTAGAATGACTAGTTATCAGGCTTGGGAACTACTGAGAGTTTGTTTACATTTCCACAGACATTACATTTGACCGTAAGTGATCTGAGATTCAGTGTAGTGTCAATTCTACTTCGTTATAAGACCTCCCCTTTAATTTGCCTTATTCCATCAACCTGAGTAGGGTTTTGGGTCTTTGTGTTTCACAACATCAGGCTGTCCTTGTGAAACCACAAAAAACCAGCTTTAGGGTTTTTTTTTCCCTCTCAGTAGCAAAGGGTTGATAGAAACCTATCCGCTCTTGTTCATCTGCTCCCCATCGTGACCAGGGGAGGGCACGTACAAAGCAGGCAGCTGGCTGAAGTTAGAATGAGGTTAGACGTCCGTCAGCTTTCCCAGACGTAAAGGCCTCCAAGAGAACCGAACCCAGCCAGTAGCCTTGAACGGCCACAACCTCACACACCTCTTTAAATTGCTCCATAGGTAAAACACACCATGAGTTTGAAGCTGATGGGAAAAAATGCACTAGCACCAGCACGCTCAGAGTCCACACTTATGGCCCACACGCCACAGCGCACTGCATCGTCCGACACGAGGGCTTGCGGGGAAGCAGGCTGGTAGCCCCTTTCCGTTTTGAAGATTTGGGTAAGAAAAACTCATGATCGTCTTTAGCCATTTTTACTTCACCTTAGTATCACACTATCAAAGTTAAATGGAGTACGAAACGCCCTTCAGAGTCTGAATACTGTCGACGAAGCTCTCCTTACTAGCACACTAACCACTTGAACTTTCTCCAGCTGGGCGACCCAGGGGCACCTGTTCCCACAATCAGAGGAACCCCAGAAGTGCAGAGCACCACGTGCCAATAGTGTCATGTTTGCTTTTTGATGACAGCTGACTTAACTTGACTTCAGACAGTCTCACTGCAGCCATGTTTCCGAAGAGATTATCTAAACAACCTGTATCTTTGTTCTTGACCCAAGAGTAACTGAAATACATCTAAATGTGTCGATATCGCTCTACGTTAATAAAAAACATTCAACACAGTCCCATTAGGTCATGATTACTCTTTAGATTTGTTATAACTCTTCTGAAGGTTTTAGTTTAACCATGTTAATATTCAGAGCAGAACAGAAAATAATAATATATTAAGCGTGAAGACTCACTGTCTACATTTTCAGAATCTCTGTGCTCGGACTCCTTCCCAAATGCACAATTGTACTTGTACAATTTTTTGAGCCAAGGAGTATCTAATCACACAGCAGCCATTAGGAAGACGCTGGCCTTCATGATTGTATAGGGTACTTCTCAGTAAAAAAGAGATTCCTGAAGTACAAGGATTCATTCCCACTAGTGCAAAGAGAAAGCTGTCGGGTGATGATGCATCTGTTGAAAAAAGCACTGTATCAAATGAAGTAACAGCTAATGAAAGGTATTTGTGAAGGAGAACCTCACAGTGGGGGAATGGAAGAGCTGCCCCCCAAGGGCCGCTGCTGAGGTTCACAGCCACCCCCCTCAATACCACAGCCTTTCCACTGGTCACTTTCTCATCAAGCCCAAAGTAGTTCTTGAGGGAGCTGCCTGCACAAGACTCAGGGACCCGCAGCCTGGGCGGGGCTGTAATCTGACACAAATATCCCTTCCTCCTTAAGACTCATTCCCCTCTGCTGCTCCACCCCCACTGGTGGGGTGGGGGATATGGGAGGCCCACCAAAGAGAGAACAAGACTCCATTTCTCTAAATGCCGAAAGATTCTCAGATTCTCAAATAAGAGGTCCAACCATACTAAAAAAACACACCTTTACTTTTTGGCAATTGTTCAAGCCATCTCCAAGCAGAGGGTGAAAATCACAGTTTCTCCGGCTTTATGGCCATTGTTCTGTCTGGCTCAAAATCACAGCCATGCAATATTTCTAATCCTAACAATAAGTCAAGACTCGACTTTTATTTGTGATCTAAGTAACGACTATTAAGCATCCATTGCCAGGTCACCAATAAGTGTCCACAGAGTAACTCTAGTTATCAGCTGCTGGTGGCTTCCATTTGTTTCTGAACTTTGTCGTTTGGCGAAGGACGTACAGATAGCACAGACTTTTTGTTCATCCAATTAGTTTCAAAAGCTTGCTAGCTGAGGATGCTTGAAAACACATTTACAAGTAAGGACTCTGACCCTTCTCCCCACACTCTGCATGGCAGGACCCGGAGGAAATGAGGGTCATGCAAGAACCACCTCCTAGAGGGTCCTGAAAGGGGAAGCGCCTTCTTTTGGAAAACCCACTGTGCAACAGTGGGTGAAGGATAACAGGACACGAGGAGTGGACCAGACATCCTCAAAATGATTTATTTCATCTGTCGAGGATTCCAAATGAAGAATCTTGGTTTCCTATTGCTTTTCTGGAGATGGGGTAAAAACAAATCTTTGAACCACGGTTCTCAAACGTTTTGATTTCAAGACCCCTCTATACTTTCACAAGTAGTGGAGCACCCCAAAGAACTTTTACCCGTGTGAATTACATCTGTCAGTATTTACCTGTTAGAAATTAAAACTGAAAAGAACATGTTTAAATCAGTCCAGTGCATATAAACAGAAGGGCATATTTTTATGGAAAAATAACTACCTCTTGCAATGCCAAAACATTAGTGAAAAATGGCATTGTTCTACATTTTGAAAATCTCTTTAGTATCTGGCTTAAAATAAAACAATTGGGTTATCATAACTTCTGCATTTGAGAGATTAGACATCCTCTTCAAACTCACACAGCAGGAAGCATGTGACAGCACTGGATTCAATCCAGTCTGAGACTGACTCCCAAGCCACCTAACAAATAAGTAGATAGATATGTGAATGGCTATTTGGACAGAGATTGATGGATTGACAGGCAAATGGATAGAGAGAGAGGCGGTGCATACTCTACGCCTACCACCGCCAAATGCACCACTCTGCGGAGGTCCAGCCTGCTGTAGTTCTGAGCCAGGCAGTTGAACAGATGGGCAATCAGCAGGGTACAGATTCAAAAACCAGAGTATGAGCTGCAGAACACATAGTCTGAGGTTTCTGCAAAACCTCCACAAGCGGGGAGCCACAACATACATTCTCCAACCTATTGTACTGAGCACAATGTGGGTAAAATTGCTGTCTGTGGTTACAGAATTTTGTTTCTCTCCTTTCCTAGTTACTGATCAAGGGACAGCTTCCAATGCCCTGGAGAGCAGCTCTCTATCCTCTCAAGACCCTCGGCAGCGCACTAGTCCTGGTAAGTGTCACAACCATTAAAACTCTAAAAAATCATGCCTCCTTGGGAAGGTCGACTTTTCCAGTTCTAAGTTGTAAGAATTATTTTATACTTCAATGTTCAATAAGACCCCCTCCAACTGGCTCCAGCTTTGTGGGTCCTGGAGAAGCTCCGTAAGAGGAGCAATCACTCAGAGGGAGGAGTTTTAGGGTGTTTAATGCCCTGTACGGTGAGTACTATTTTTCTTCACACACAAAGCTGTGATATTCGAATTTCCTCTGTGGTAGAGGGCAAGGTCGAATTCATTTTTAGAAAGACCCAATTCCTTGTTTTCCCACCTAGAACAGACCAAACACAAAATAAAGACTTGGTATCAACAAAGAACAAAGAATCAGGGTCTGGAGATCCGGTGCTCTTTGTCATCACATAAAACTTTGAAAACACTTTGGTTACTTACATGTCAAGAACTCCGAGGGCTTTGATGATGTTACTGAACTATAAATGCAGAGGAGTTTAGAAAGCCTGGCTTATAATTCCATATTTTTAGACAGCAAACCTACTAGGTAATTAATGCGGGGCAATGAGCATATATTTATCTTCGTATTTTACCTAGCTTGCTTGGTACCTGGCCACAGCAGGTACTCAGAAAACACAGAACGGATGAATGAATGAAGAGATGAATGCAGGCATTTATGATGTTATTTTGAGAGAGATAACCTTACCCAGACAGGCGTAAATTCCTCCATGTCCTCTTGCTGTTACAAATAGTGTCTCCATAATAATTTCATTTGGTGGGATAAGTGCTTTCATATCATTACCCTCTTCATAGTTCTGAGTATCAGATCACATTAAAAATTTTTTTTTCTCGAGTAATATTTAAGAGTAAATCTTTGGGGCTTTCAAACCATGATGAAAACAGTATGGACCATACAGTTTTTTGAAGAGCAATGGAAATTGCAAATCGTGTAAAGTAGAATAACCACATTACTTGCTTTAATCATCCAACATGTTTAAACGTGTTTAGAATCCAGTGGTCTTTAAATTGGCTTACACCACTACTAACCACTTCAATTTTCTGTTCTGCCTTTTCAGATATAGCATAAGATTTAAGAAATATGGTTTCTAAATTTCCTTTCAGCTTTCAAGTTCCACGACTTTATTACTGTTAGTAACACCCATTTTCAGAATGAGTGGTTTCATTCCCCTCAGGGTCCACATGGTGGCGCTGTGCAATGGGCTAAAAGCAAAAGAGTCGGCAGAGAAAAAAAAATTGCAAGGATGAGCAACACAATAAAAAAAAGAGATCTCTTATTTTTACAATTCTCTGCCCTAGCAAAAACGTCACAGTGCATTCCACTTCTAAGGGGGAGAGAAGGATAGGTTTGAATGACAACAGGGCCTGTTTTTCAACATAAAAATTATCACTTTGTGCATTTCAGGCTGTTAGGTTTCTTATATAAAGCTTGGGCCGCCCTTCTTCATTTGTTCAGGTGTTATCTTGAAGCATCCTAAAGACCTTCTCACTAACAGCACTGCCTCAGGAAGGAAGTATAGAATAATTAATGGTTTAACTTTTGGGCTCTGAGTTTGCATATCACCTCTACCACTTATTTGCTGCAGGACCTTAGACAAGTCACTTAACTTCTCTAAGACTCTGCTCAGAGCTGTGGTGAGAAATAATATATACCAGATGTTCAGTTTGAGGCCCAGCACAGTGTAAGTGTCTAATAAACATCTGTCTTTAAAAAAATAGGGAAAAAGAGCCTAGCCATCTATAACTTTTTTTGGAAGACGTCAGTAGTTCAATAATGATCTTGTTGTTTTTTAAGAGGCTCACTTAATTTGGTTTCCAAAACTGCTTTGGAAGGATATGTGTATATATGCATGCCATACATAGGCATACGTATATGTCATGTATACATATATACATATCATATCATGTGTACATATATAGTCACACTATATGTTCTGTCTTGCTTTCTTTCATCTCAGTCGCAGTACTGGAAGGTTCTAGTACATCAGAGATTGGCAAGGATGGGGAAGAACAAACCACTCAGGACCCTGACGTGACCAGTGGTAAGTGTCCCCCACCACATTTAGAATGAACACTTGACATTTTAACCTCTTAATCAATAAATCCATCGGCCCTTTCCAGTCCTCATTTTTCTTGACCTTTCTATGGGTTAATCACTCCCTTGCTCCTTGACTTAGTCGCCTCCCTGGCTTCCCTCACACACTCTGGTCCTGTGACTTTTTGCTAACCACTCCCTCTCTGTGTCCATTAGCTAACTTCCCTTCCTCAGAGCTCTGACTTCTGAAGTGCGGCTATACTTCTGATTTTATGTCTCCATCCTTGGTTCTTTCCTTAATTCTTAAAAAGGTTATCCGTTCCCAAGATTGTTGCTGTTGCCACCAGGCAGAAGATTTCCAGAACATTCTCCTGAGAATTAGTCCATTTCATTTCCTCCATACCTCTTGCTGAATTTTCTGCCATTATCCTTGGACTTGACATTGCTGAAATCTGAACAGCATCTTTTTCCACAAAATCAGTTTGTCCAGAGAATCACAAGGGCGAACACACATTCTTCTGTGAACCTTAACCCCATTTTGATGGCACTGCCTGCATTTACCCAAATTACCTCTTTTGTGTGTATTCTTTTATTTGTTTGCATATAGAGAGAACTGTCCCTAGAGCATAGGATTGTGTCTTGTAGCTCCAACACAATGTAATTGCTTGTTGGTTGAGAGAAGAAGACCGGGACATTAAGCAAAACTAGGGCCCGTGGAAACAGAATTTAAGGTTGAGAAAGACCTTGAAGGTCTCATCTGGTTTACCTCCAGAGGCCCTCATGGAAGACCCCATGTAACCTCGCCAAGATTAGTGAGTTCTCACTTCATTTGCGTAGTTTTTCTAACTCCTTAACAATTTTTCTTGCTACTTAACCCTACTTTGCTGTAAAATCATTCCTTATAGCTAATTTGAATCCCCTGGCTAGAATTTAAGTCCATATTCTCATGTTTTCTCTAGAAATGAAAAATGACTGGTTCAATATCTATGTAACTTAAAAACAGTGTTCAGATCATTCCACAGAATTGCTTTGTTTATTCGTATGTCTGTTTGCTTGTTTTCCGAGAATAAATGACTGTCCTTACTTGCAGGGTAAACTTCTAAGTTTCTCGATGTAAGTTGCCTAGTAGCCCATACTAGATTTTGGAAGTATTGTGCATATTCCTCAGTGACCAAAAAAGCCCCCCAAAACCTCTTAAGCAGTCTAAAATCCGCTCATTTTCCTTATCGCAGCACATCCGCGGCACTTGGGGTTGACGAGGAAGAAGAACGGCGTCTTGCTGCTCACTCTGGTGTCCTTCCTCATCTTTGTACTGCTCATCATAGTCCAGCTCTTCATTATGAAGCTTCGGAAAGCCCACGTGGTGTGGAAAAGAGGTGAGTGGACAGCGAACCTAACGGAGGCTACAGGATGCTGAAACAATTGGCTAGAGAAAAGGAACACTGTCAATCCAAGCTCCCCTGTTAGATGCTGCACAATCTATTTGATAAATGTTGCCATTCACATGAGCGGTTACTTGTTTTGCAGTAAACACAGGATGTGAATTTCCAGGGACTATCGCCAAAGAATGCATAACTAAGGGAACTACAGTAGTTCTGGGAACTGGTGTTAAATGATAGAAGCTTCAGTTCACACAAGGACACTAAGTAGAGAGCTCATTCATTCATTCACACGTTCACTAATCATTCACTGAGCACCTACTATGTGCCAGAGTCTGTTCCAGGTACTAGGGACACATCTGTGAACAAGACAGACAGGTTCCTGCTCTCAAGTTCATATTCTAGGAATGGTCAATCCAAGGTTGACTGTTTTGGTCCCTTTCTTACTTTGAAAGAATGTACTCAGGTGCCCTCAACCATAATATGTTAGTAATTTTTCCTAAGCATTCTAGCTAAACAGTCATCAGTGGAAGCAAAAAATACATATATATTACTGAGTTACATGAAAGGTATCTATCAAAATACATAGACTCAACACATATCAGAGCTGGAAAGGACCTTAGAAGTATATAATAATAACTAGAATAATGATCTACTCAATTCAATCCATAAATGTATGCCAGGTTTAAGTTCCTCTTCAGTTCTGAGTGATTATTTAGACCTAGGATGTCCAATATAGTAGCCACCACATAACTATTGAGCACTTGAAATGTGGCCAGTCATTCTTGAGATGTGCTATCAGGATAAGATACCCAATTTTGAAGATTCAGTCTACACACATACACAAGAATATAATATGTCTAATAATGATACATTGGATCTACTAGTTAAATAAAATATATTATTAAATTAATTTCACCTGTTTTTTTAACCATGGCTACTAAAATTTAAAATTACCCATGTGGCTATTGGACAGTGCTGATTTAACCACTCATGGCTTGTAAACCACCAATAACAGAGAATTCATTATGTCCAAGGCAAAATACTACATCTTCGAATGGCTCTGAACTTCTTAAAACTACCACTTGTCCTAGTTTATTGTCAATCTTTCTTGACTGACATCACGGAGGACTAATATTTTCATCCTAGACAGACATAGAGACAGGGTCTAATTTCCAGCTGTACCTGCACAGGAGGCATATGGCAGAGTATTTTTTCACAATCTCCCATTAGTGCTTCAGCCCCATAGTTCTTTAAGGGCTACTGGACTTGTTCCTTCCCAAAGGACAATACTTGACTCTAATCTACTATCATTTGACATCCGCAACTCATACACTGCCCAGCACAGTGCCTGTAAGAATCATAGCAAAGAATAAAAAATGATTTATTGAACGAATAAGGACATGACATATGGCAAGTGAAGTGATAAGTCTATTACTGTATAAAAACAGAGGTATCATCTTATTCAAACGTTCATTTCTACATACAGATGATGTCTGTGGCACCCAGAATCAGTATCTTAATTTTCTCTTCTTGCAGAAAACGAAATTTCAGAACACACTCTAGAAAGTTACAAATCAAGGTCAAATAATGAAGAAACATCATCCCAAGAGAAAAATGGCCAAAGTAAGTCAACCCTGTGACCTGAGATTTGAAAAAAGAAGTTCATCTTTTTGTTGACTTTAATGGGGAGGGTAAAAATAAAAGTTTGATTTTTAGTGCTAGGAAGTCAATTACCTAAATCCTCTCAGAGAAAATAAGGAAGTGCATCTTAAAAAGTAAAAATAGTTAAGACCATGCGCCTCTGGGAAGCCATCCCTGGGCTCTCACTGTCGTTCACAGGCTCACCCCTGGACGTACCTCCAGAGCTCCAGAGCATCTCACACACGCCTTTATCTACCATGTTGCCATTTTTGGTGTGTGGTTTAGCTACCGCAATATTCCTGAGTAGCTGGATTTGCTCTGTGTGTAACCCCAGATTCCTACACAGGGATTGGCACAGATGGAATGTCTGATAAATTTATATTGAATAAATGAATACAAGTCTTGACTAATTCAAGTAGAAATGCTTCCTGTCTTTGGGATTACTTCATTGCAATGCCGTCAACCAATATATATAAAGAAAAAGAAGAGCCCAAGAGGAGTTTGTGTGTGTGTGTGTTTTGTTTTGATCTTCAGCAGCTAAGACTGTAGTCAAGCAAGAGTCTTATACTGTCCAACCTCTATGCATTTGAGTGTATTCCACGTGTCAGAAATGCAGGAGCTTTGCTACTAGATTCTATGGGCTTTATTGAGGTTTTTGCAGGAAGCTTGTCTTTTCAATACCTCTGACTTTTGGGTTTTGACCTAGTAGGGTGTGAAGTGGAAAAGAATAGTGGTACTAGCAGGGAGAGCGGCACCAGTGAGTGGGCTGTGTGAGAACTGGGGGTGGAGGGGAAAATGTGGGTGAGCTACATACGGTCTGTTGTATCGCACATATGTTTCTATGCCGTCAATTGCCTCATACTCAACTGACAAGTAGGAGGATGATGTCAATATAATGTATAAATTGGATTGCTTCCTACGCTGACTTTCCTAGGCAAGGAGAACCAAAACAGTGGGAGTAGAATTATAACCTTTAGCAGGCAACGAAAAGCCCTCGGCTCAGCTGCTGAACAAGCAGAAGTGCTTGCAGTTCAATTTTAACAAAAGTTTAAAATGAGCACCCGCACTCTAGGCTCTCTATCCTGAAAGGTCCACTGCCAGGGCCTTGACACAGATCATGGGAAGTGGGGTTCTGACCTCCACTTCTGTCCTCCTTCCTACAGAGCCCTCAAATTAAGAATTTCAATGACTGCTTTTGCTCACGTAACAGTCTTCTGGAGCTGTCTCCATGTACAGAGTTACATAAGCTTTGACTGGTCCGCCCCAACCCTATTTTTCCCTTAAGCCCTGGTACTTTTAGTATGAAAGTTTGCTAAAAGCAATGCATATTTTTTCCAGCAGCACATATGTTATTCCACAGCAGAAATGTCTATATATTTTATTTCAGGTTTATTAGTATATTGTTTATATAACAAGCCTTCTTAAAAGATTACACTAGAGCAATGTGTTCAGATCATTTATATGCATCAGTGGATTCCAGATTTGACTTTTAAAGACATTCGCACGTGGACCTGAACATACCACGGGCCATCAGAATGTTTCGGATAAATGCGCACAACACTGTTCTAAATGAATTTTCATCTTTGACACGCTTTTCTTTCAGCTTCTCACTCTAAGAGCTACGTGAACTACATCACTCAGTGGTACTCAGAAGCAAAAACAAAGAGGAAGGAAAATGCACAAAATGCAAAATTAGAAGGACAGCACACTTGGATACCAGAGAGCATCGTGTAGTGCACGCCCTGCAACAGAAAATAGGATTTCAGGGCAGCTGCTTGTCACCTCGGTGGCACAGCCTGTGGGAAGGAACATCATTACTACCCCGTGAAAAACAGTTTGTGTGCAATGCAGTATGGTGTCCACCCGTGGTAATCTGACTGGGATTCGGAGCAGCAAAATGAGGACCAAACCATGGACATAAATCTTTGTAGTTAAAAAAAAAGAAACAGCCTATTATACGTGACACTACTTCACAGCAGGAGGCAGTCTCCTAAGCCTCGGGATCGGGGTCCACGTGACCAGCTAGCACCTCACCTCAAAAGGAACAGAAGTTTTTGATGCTGAGCTCTAGTCTCCTATTAGAACTACTTAAAAAATATTTTTTTTAATCTTTCCTTCTGGTCTCCAGATTTAAAAAAGAAAAAAAACTTTGGGATGAAAAAGGTCTAACGAAGCTCCTTAATCCTGGGAGTTTACATTCGGGGAGGACTTGAAGGAGCCGGAACCAGCCATGCCGCGCCAGGGAGACGTGGTGCATAACAGTGAATGAGCTTTAAATAATGAGCGTGACCGCCCAAGACCCAAGCGTGAGTTCAAGGGAGGCCCAAAGTTTTTATTTTCTTGCTAAATCGCAAGAGCTGATCTGGTAGACAAAGTTTTTACCAGGATACCTCATTACAAAAACATGCACAAAAGAAAACAGTGAATTTAACATACTGATTACCGACCTAATGGGTGCTTTTAAGAATGTATTTAATAAAGAGCAGAATGTATATGGGGGCTTTTTCTTCATATTCTAAGCTGTGCTTCCTCCTTTCACTTTCACATGTGAAAGTAACACAGCCTTTTTTTTTTCTATCAGTTTATTTAAGGTGTAGCAAACTCTGACATTTATTTACAACATTTCTCCTAGTCGGGATCTAAATAAACTAATTCTAAAATATCATCCCCAACTGTCTACACACACTCATGTTTTGAGTTTGTAATTTTTTCCTTTCTGGCACAAAATATTCGAGGCTTATCTTCAACTTTCCTGTCTCAGCCCTGTACACAGCCATTTCTCCAAGGATCCCTGGTTCCTTTTGGTGGAAAATGGTATTTAGAAGCCAAGACCCCAGGGCTAGGTGTATGCATTGCTTTGTGGGTATCACTGTTCTCAAGTGCTCTCAGTATAGAAAGCTTGGGAATATAAGAGAATGCACACATATATCTGTATATATGTGTCTATGTGTATGCATATACTTAAATCTATCTATTGAAAAACATGACTTTATTCTAGTTTTCTCCTGGCCTGTATTTGTAACTATCTTTTCTGGAAAACGTGGCTTCCATTATCCTGAATGTGTACTGATTTGCTCAATCCCTGTATGCAAACAGTCTCTCCTCTGCTACCATCCTGTTCTCCTTGAAGGCGCTCTCCTCTTCCTGTACAGGTCTGGCCCCACATGCTGTGTCCCCAGCCCACCAATAGGGTGCTCTCCGCACCATGCCTGGTCTCTGATGCCCCCCACCAGGGAGCTGCAGTGTATGGAAGCCTGGCCACACACTTGTCCACACACTCTTCTCATCCACACAAGCTCAGCCACCCCTCTCCAGCCTCCACAGCTTCCCCACCAGCACCGCTGTGGACGCCTACTTTGCTATACCCCACTCAGCGACTTTAGGACTGAATTATTAGGGAAGAGTGGGAAGTGAAAGAGGAAAACGGGAATGAACTGATGTCCTGATTTCTAGGAGAGTTTTAATGAGTAAAGACATCAAGGTGAGACATGTCACTTATGGTTTTGCAGCACTTTGAGACAGAAATCATTTACCAAATCATTCATATTCTGCGGACAATCCAGAGATGAACAATTTCTCTTCAGAGAGTGCCGGTCATGGCTGATCAAATCTTACTTCTGCATCCTGCTACTTTGAGTCTGTGCTTGCAGGTTAATCCCCCCAAAGGACGTTCACTCAGACTGTTTCCATTACTCCAGTGCCTTTTACTGAGGAGGTCAGACTAAGGTGCCAACGTCACAGAACCATGCAAAGCAGAGATAAGCAGACATTGCCAATGGCCAGAATCACCTGAGAGGATTTCATAAAACTGGGATCCCCAGGTTTATCCTCAAAGACTGGTCTTAGCAGACCTAAAGCCAGGGCTTTGGAATTTGCTTTTTTTTTCTTAAAGCTCCCTGAGTGATTGCAACAGATCAGGGCAGTACAAACCAACATTTCTCAAAACACAGCTGAAGTAGAAATATGATCATTAAAGCTAATTTAGAAATTAGAAATAATGTCTAGAGATATTACATTCTCCTGGAGGCAGAAGGACATTATGAGTCATCTAGTCCTACCTTGTGTAGAACTACACCCCAATGCACAGGCCCAGCACATCCTGTGAAGGAAGAATACCCAACGTGCATAGTGCCTAGCCCATAGCAGTTTCTCAGTTTTCATTTGGCAAACAGCAGAAGGAAGACAGATAAAAGAAAAACGACATTTGTAGAGAGCCAATTATGAGGCAGACACTTGATATGAGTAAGCTAATATAACCATCACAACAATTTTCAAGGTAGGTATCATAATGCACATTTGACACCTAAGAGATACTCTAAGGTCTCCAAAGGGCTTAGGAGGTTACACCGATTATTTAGCCAGTTAAAGAGAGAGAGCCCAGATGCTGCTCTGGGTCTGTCTGGTTTCAGTATTATGCTCCTTCTATTGCTATATGAGGATGATTCCTGGGGGATATTTAAGATGAAATATGTTGAGCCATTGTCATTGCTCAATTCCTTTTAATTGCCCCTCCCCATTCTCTACCCTTTTCTACCTGCTTGGTGCCCTGGGACACCAACACTTTAGGCTACATCAGTGGGCTCCCTTGACCTCTCCCTGGCACCAGCTGGGAACCGTGGAGTACCAGCAATGTGCAAGGTTTCTGGGTACTGACTGTGCCCTGGCTGGAGGCCCCGACTCCTGTCAGGCTGTCCTCTGTCTCAGCTTCTGGAATCTACTTGCTTCTTTCACCTCATCAAGTCTAGAGGGATCCTGCATTGTCTTTTGTGGTTCCCCCCAATTTTGTAACTAGTTCACTTAAGTCTTCTCAAATTGCTCAGTTTGAGTGTATCACCTGTCTCCTGCAGAGACCCTAACCAATACAAAACTATGTTCATAGATTTCTCACATCTCAACAGATCTGAATCTGCTTTCATGTGTAATTATAGAAGACTATAATTAGCGAGGGTCTTTGGGGTCATTTCAATCATTTCCTAAAATGTATTTTGAGAAGCACTGGTGGTCTAGAAATGTTAACAGGTGTTCAGTGAAAAAAAAACAAAAAAAAAGTTTTTTGGGGCAAAACAAGTTTGCAGAATGTTTAACTATATGTCTCTCATAGAGATGATGCACATTAGCATAGTAAAGGCTCTGAAAGTCTTCTTGCAAAGGAATCTGTTTAGCTTCATTTAACCCAGCAAAACTCAAACTTAACCTTATAAAGCAGTTCATGATGGCTGCCCGCCCACTGGCCATTCGTCAGCATCTCCCTCTTTCTAGTGGATCTGTGATTTTGTTCTGGTATCCAGCCTATACTGCGTAATCCTGTGCTTCAGAGCAGGTGAGCCCCATCCCCAGAGAAAAGAGAAATCACGATTGGCTAGAAGCAGCCACAGTCCCATTTTTCTCCTTGCTGGCAGTCAGGTTAGGCTTGGATACATGAAACATGCTGGCCATTGAGACATGAATGGAAGTGCCTAAGAGGCTTCTGGGAAGGATGTGTCTTAATGATAAAAAGAGATTCTCGGAATGAATGCATTTTCCTTCCTCCAAAACGTTGTCATAATGGCAAGTGATGCTTGGAACTGCCATGGCTATTTTAAACCCATCAGGGAATCTGAGGTAATGTGATGAAGACACCATAGAAGAGACAGAAGGGCATGGAATCCTTGATGATTTTGTTAAGATGTTGAATTTTCAGAATTCCTTGTAAAGTGAGATAAAAACTCCGTATTGTATTTAAACCAGGTGAACTGAATTTTAAATTACTTCCAGCTCTAAACTGGAGCGCCTTTTGAGCTATGAAACAGTTGTTTCATGGCACATCAGTGTACTAACAAAAACAATTTAGGAAACTGATCTCAATAAATTCTTTTGTACTATAGACGAGGGAACTGAGGCTCAGAGAGGTTTCCTCAGCCATCAAGGACCACGCAACTAGTTACTAAGACAATCGGGATTAGAACCCTGCTCTCCTGGTTCCTAAAGAGACCAAAACAAGATTTTGCCTCTTTCCTTCCATGTAATTTATATTCCCAAGGGAGCATTTCATGCTCATTTCTTACTCATTAGAAGATGGAGCCAAAGAACAACTAAGACATTTCTATTTAATGATCCTTCTTAATCTTGACTTTGGGGAACTAAGTCAAAAGGATGCTTATATTATTTTCCCTCAAATGATTTGAGAAAAACCAAACCTCGATCCTCTAGGCCCAAGCATCATTTGTACCGTCTGTCATTAGGTGAACATAACAGATGCCAAACTACACTCCGCACAGACTGAGCATACATCAGGTAGTGAGGCTCCCTGCAGAGAAAGAAGATGGTTCGAACTGCCCAGCATTCACAAGTCCACTAACTGAACCCAACGACATGATCCCCTGTTACTTCCCCTGGTTGAAGTCATGGTAATTTGCTCTATTTATAATGGGGTTTTGATCTAGATGAAATGTAACTCTGTTTTTACAATGTTACACCTTCTAAGAGAGCATTTTCCTTCCTGTAATGTGTTCCTGAGCAAATCTGTCATCACAGATCTTTACTCTAGACCTGTTGAAATATGTTAATTTTTTTTCCCTACCTTCTCTGCTCTACATCTTATTTTCAGATAGAAGCAGACCAAAACTAACGCAGCAAAAAATTACTATATTCTCCCCAAATGCCTCACAGTTTGTTTTTTTTTTCAAAAAGATATGTTGCCTAATTATAGGGAGGCTTAACTTTGTAGGTGCACCCTGTCTTGACATTTGAAAAGAGAAAATAATTCTGCTAGGTCTTTGCAGCTCCACGAAACAATGGGTCATAGTTTTTAATTAAGACAGAATGCTGCTATCTAATTAGGTCCTGATTTGTGAAATAAAAACTGTGTCTCTTTAGAAAAATACTAAATTCTGTGACTAAGCCTCAGTTTGTCCAGAGCATATTTTCAAATTGGATTACCACCTTTTCTGGAGACAAAAAATCAATATTACTTTTTAAAATGAAAGGATGTCCCCTCTCTTTTGCTCCCCACAAATACTTTATTCCCAAATTGTGGTTAGTTGGATTAGGTCATGAGTAGTATTTTACATCTTCAGTTTCCTCATCTGTAGAATGAGGATAACAATCCTTATCGCACAAGATTAGTATGAGGATTAAATGAGATAAAATAATGCAAGCAAAGTGTCTAGACCAGTACTAGATACTAATAAGTATATAATTAGTGTTCGTGTTTTTCTCTTCTTTCTTAGACTCATTGTTTCATCCCTATATTAGTTTTAGACAGTGGCATGGAGACCATTGAGTCCCGGTGTATTTACTGAGAGCACCCTGATAACTGGTTATGCAGAATTTTAACTTTGAAACTAATAGGGCACAAAGGGTCTGCTACTGAAGAAAGACTCGGTGGGGCTGAAGACTTTTAATGAACTTGATCACCTCATCTCATAATAAAATCAATAGCAATTATAGGAATATGTTTTAATATTAATATTACAAAATAAAAAATGTTATATGTGATTAACAGATCTGAATCTGCTTTCATGTGTAATTATAGAAGATTATAATTAGCGAGGGTCTTTGGGGTCATTTCAATCATTTCCTAAAATGTATTTTGAGAAGCACTGGTGGTCTAGAAATGTTAACAGGTGTTCAGTGAAAAAAAAACAAAAAAAAAGTTTTTTGGGGCAAAACAAGTTTGCAGAATGTTTAACTATATGTCTCTCATAGAGATGATGCACATTAGCATAGTAAAGGCTCTGAAAGTCTTCTTGCAAAGGAATCTGTTTAGCTTCATTTAACCCAGCAAAACTCAAACTTAACCTTATAAAGCAGTTCATGATGGCTGCCCGCCCACTGGCCATTCGTCAGCATCTCCCTCTTTCTAGTGGATCTGTGATTTTGTTCTGGTATCCAGCCTATACTGCGTAATCCTGTGCTTCAGAGCAGGTGAGCCCCATCCCCAGAGAAAAGAGAAATCACGATTGGCTAGAAGCAGCCACAGTCCCATTTTCTCCTTGCTGGCAGTCAGGTTAGGCTTGGATACATGAAACATGCTGGCCATTGAGACATGAATGGAAGTGCCTACGAGGCTTCTGGGAAGGATGTGTCTTAATGATAAAAAGAGATTCTCGGAATGAATGCATTTTCCTTCCTCCAAAACGTTGTCATAATGGCAAGTGATGCTTGGAACTGCCATGGCTATTTTAAACCCATCAGGGAATCTGAGGTAATGTGATGAAGACACCATAGAAGAGACAGAAGGGCATGGAATCCTTGATGATTTTGTTAAAATGTTGAATTTTTAGAATTCCTTGTAAAGTGAGATAAAAACTCCGTATTGTATTTAAACCAGGTGAACTGAATTTTAAATTACTTCCAGCTCTAAACTGGAGCACCTTTTGAGCTATGAAACAGTTGTTTCATGGCACATCAGTGTACTAACAAAAACAATTTAGGAAACTGATCTCAATAAATTCTTTTGTACTATAGACGAGGGAACTGAGGCTCAGAGAGGTTTCCTCAGCCATCAAGGACCA